CTATGTATCATTCTATCTGAAAACAGCAGAATACACACTGTTTTCATGTGCACATGGAGTATTCCCAGGATAGATCACATCTTGGGCCACAAAGTAAGCCTCAGTAAATTTAAGAAAATTTAAATCATATCAAGCATCTTTTTTGACCACAGTGCTATGAGATTAGAAATCAACTATAAGAAACAAACTGTAAAATACTGTATTATTTACTACAGTCACCATGATGTACATTAAATCCTCATGATGTATTTATTTTGTAAGTGGAAGTTTGTACCTTTTGACCCCCTTCAGCCAATTTGCTCATCCCCCACCCCAATGTGTGGCAACCACCAATCTGTTCTCTGTATCTATGAGCTTGTTTTTTGTTTTGTTTTGTTTTTTAGATTCTACATGTAAGTAAGATCATATGGTATTTGTTTTTCTCTGTCTGACTTATTTCATTTAGCATAATGAAATATATGAGCCTTGAGGCTCATCCATGTTCTTGCAAATGCCAAGATTTTATTCTTTTTATGGCTGAATAATATTTCATTTTATATATATATATACATATATCACATTTTTGGTCAGGATGATGGATGATTGTTTCCATATCTTGGCTGCTGTAAATACTGCTGCAATGACCATGGAGGTATACGTATCTTTTTAAGTTAGTGTTTTCATTTCCTTTGGGTATATACCCAGAAGTCGAATTGCTGGATCATATGGTAGTTATATTCTTAAATTTTTTGAGGAACATGCATGCTGTATTCCATAGTGGCTAACCCAATTTACATTCCAACCAACACTGCATGAGGGTTTCCTTTTCTCTACATCCTCACCAACACTTGTTATTTCTTATCTTTTTGAGAATAGCCATTCTGACAGGTGTGAGGTAATATCTCATTGTGGTTTTGATTTGAATTTTCCCAATGATTTGTGACGTTGAGCATCTTATCATATACCTGTTGGCTATTTGGATGTCTTCTTTGGAAAAATGTCTATTCAAATCTTCTGCCCACTTTTTAATTGGATTTTTTTTTGTTTTGCTCTTAAGTTGTATGGCATCTTTGTATATTTTGGATATTAACCCCTTATCAGATGTATGATTTGCAAATATATTTTCCCATTCACTAGGTTGTCTTTTCATTTTGTTGCTAGTTTCCTTTGCTGTGAAATAGCTTTTACATTTGATGTTTTGCTACTTGTTGATTTTTGCTTTAGCTGCCTTTGCTTTTGGTGTCAGATTCAAAAAATCATCACCAAGATTAAAGTCAAGGAGTTTACTGCCTATATTTTCTTCTAGGAGTTTTATGGTTTCAGGTCTTACATTCAACTCTTTAATCCATTTTGAGTTAATTTTTATGTGTTGTGTAAGATAGTGGTCCAGTTTCACTCTTTTACATGTAGCTGTTCAGTTTTCCCAACACAATTTATTGAAGAGACTATCCTTTCTAGATTGTATATTTTTGGCTACTTTGTTATATGTTAATTGACCATATATGCATGGTTTATTTCTAGGTCCAAATTATTTTTGGCATGTTGTACAATATGCTATGTTTTGGTTACTTACATATCTAATCTAGTTGTATACGTTCCTCCATCTGTCACTAGGAACAGTCATTTAGCCTTCTTGTTCAGTGATGTCTGGGTCATGCTGGTGTTAGTATTGTCGTCATTCTGATTTTTATTATCTGAGCTCTTAGAAAAGATCACAATATTGACAATATGAAAAATTAGTGCTATCTTGACACAAAGCACAACAGTTAATCCACAGACTAAGTCAAAGATGTACTGTTCACATTAATGATTTCAATACCCTTAGGTTGCACACTTAAGTCACATCACTCAGAGTGAATATCAGTAGTCAGAGTTAAAAACAGCAACAGCAACTGCAGATAACCTATGCTATATTCACTTGACACCAAAACAATGTTGCTTTTAGTTCCTGGGTGTTTTTTTTAAGCTTCTGTATGAATTTTGTTTTGTGCTTCCAAACTTCCAAGCCAGTTTCTAAAAATCAGAAAATTTCCCATCCTGTTAATGGATGCCCCGGTATATAAGGCTTTCCTGACAACACTTGGAACAGTGCCAGGCCAACAGTCATGGTTAGTTACCCTAGGCCACTTTAGGTCCAAATGGCAGTACTGTGGTTGCACCTGAGCCTGGGCTCAGAGGAAACCTTCCAATACAACTAGTTTCTTTTAGTCAGCTGCCGTAGGCTGTATTCATCCCCTCTATTCTGGGGCCTGTAGGTCTACCCCGAAAGCCCTGGGCTGGTATGCCAGCTGACTGCCTGTTCTGTGCCCAAATTATCTCCTTGGGGCCCTGTACCCAGTCAAGGAAACCCTGGGCTGCTGATGGGCCTGGACTCCATGTGGGAGACGCCCTTGTGATGCTGAATGCATTTGGGGGCATAAACAGTTTGAGAGGCAAGGTGATCCCAAGGAATCCAAGTTTGCTTTATATCCTCATTTTATTTATTTTGAATATCATTGACTTATGTTAACAGTATATGGCCTGGAAAAACCTCAAATTATGGAATTTATCCTGGCCTTATTTGTAACCAGTATCTTATTGTCTTTTGTTAATATTTCATGGATATTTTCAAAGAATGTGTAATCTGTTTTTACAGCATTACATACAAAGATACAACATATGTACATAATTAAATATAATTAAGTATATATGTGGTTGTGTGTATGACTTACTTGTTTGCATATTCTAGAATCTAAATCCTCATATATTTTTGTTAACTTGTCTACTTGGTATATAAAATTTATACATCAAGTTTATTTAATCTTATATTATAATTTTTCTTTTAATAATTTTTATATAATCTTAACCCCAGAAGTTAACCACTACTAATATTATATATTATTATTGATTTTTCAGGTGTTATTATCAACCTTTTAAATCTATGACAAGCCAACAGTAAAAAAATTTCCACTCGCATTTCTTTAATTTCATGAGGCTTCCCAATTATCTTATGGTTGTAGGAAATTTATAATTATTCTGCATATTTTTCTTTCATTACCCTTGACAATCACTTCTAGTGATATTTTTGACCTTTTCTAACACACATACATTTTTATATGTATATGTTTAATTGTTAAACATGCATAACATAAAATTTACCAATTTAACCATTATTAAATGTATGAATCAGTGACATTAAATATATTGGTGTACACTGTTGTAAACCCACCATCCATCTCCAGAACTCTTTCATCTTGAAGAACTGGAACTCTATATTCATTAAACGATAATCCCCCATTCCTCTCTTCCTCAACCCCTGGAGGCCACCATTCTACTTTCTGTTTCTATGAATTTGACCACTTTCACATACCTTATAGAAGTGGAATTATACATTATTTGTCCTTTTATTTATGGTTTGTTTCATTTAACATAATGTCTTCAAAGTTCACCCATGTTGTAGCATGTCAAAATTTCGTTCGATTTTAAGACCATATAATATTCGGTTGCATGTATATATCACATTTGGTTTATCCATTGATCTGTTGATGGATACCTGGCTTACTTCCGCATTTTGACTATTGTGGATAATGATGCTGTGAATGTGGGTGTACAAATATCTGTTTGAGTCCATGCTTTCAATACTTTGAGTATATACCTAAATGTGGAATTGCTGGATAATATAGTAATCCTATATTTAACTTTCTGAGGAACCACCAAACTCTTTTTCATAGAGGCTGAATCATTTTACATTCTCATCAATGAGTTTTCTAATTTCTCCATATCCTCACCAACTTTTCTTTTTATAGTAACCAACCTAATGAGTGTAAAGTGATAACTCATTGTGGTTTTGATCTCTCTATGGGTATATCAGGATCTATGGATCAAAAATTGCCAGTTTAATTTTTAAGAATATCATCATTTTGTTGAACGTTGTTATCGGAAGATCTGTTGTATTTTATTATCTTTTTTTTTTTTTTTTTTTTTTTTGCGGTACACGGGCCTCTCCCGTTGCGGAGCACATGGATCACGGGCCCAGCCACTCCGTGGCATATGGGATCTTCCCGGACCGGGGCACGAACCCGTGTCCCCTGCATTGGCAGACGGACTCTCAACCACTGCGCCACCAGGGAAGCCCGATCTGTTGTATTTTAAATTGCTACTTTTTATAGGAAACCTGATTTTTTGTGTGTACATATTATCAATGGACTATCATCATTTTCAAAAGGCTTTTAGTTGATTTTTTTAGGGGGTTGATATTTTTTAAATGATATGAACTGAAGTTAATAATTTTGCCACACCTTTTTAATAATAATTTTCCTTTCTTTCCTCTTCTTCAGTTAATTTCACCTTATCTCTCTCTCATTTCATAATTGTATTGGGTAATCCATTCAGAATAACAGGAAATCATCATGAAAGAGGCTATCATTACTTCTTAGGAATACTTCTAATATTGTCTCATGAAAAGGCTGCTCCTTTTGATTCAATATTTATCTTGTTGAGAAAATATTTATCTCTCCCAATTTTATTTAAAATCAGGAATGTATTTTGGGCTTTATTAGATATGTGTAAGGCATCTATTGAACTGATTATATTGTCTTATATTGCCTTTGAAGATTTTCTAATACTAAACCATCTTGTCTTCTAGTCTGAAGTTCTCTAGACTATTAGGTAATGAATATCGCTAGGAAGGAAAGTGTTTTTTTTGAAGTACAGTCAATTTACAATGTATTAGTTTCACGTTTACAGCATAGTGATTCAAAGTTTTTATAGATTATAGTCCATTTAATGTTATTAGGATATTGGCTCTATTCCCTGTGCTGCACAAATATAACCTTGTAGCTTATTTTCTACATAGAAGTTTATACCTTTTAATCCCTTTCCCCTCCCCCCTTCCCACTGTCCACTGGTAATCACTTGTTTGGTGTTCCACAGCTAGTTCTCCCTTCAATGGATGGCCTAGGGAATAAATGACCTCATCCATTCTTTCATGAAAATACACTATTAGTCTGCTTGGTTGCCATAACAAAATGCTACAGACTGGGTGTCTTAAACAATAGAAATTTATTCTCTCACAGCTGTGGAGGCTGGGAACCCATGATCGAGGTGCTGGCAAATTCGGTTTCTGGTGAGAGCTCTCTTCCTGGCTTGCATATGGCTGCCTTCTTGCTGAGTCCTCTGTGTGTGTGGAGAGAGAAAGCTCTCTGGTGTCTCCTCCTCCTCTTATAAGAACATCAGTTCCATCAGATTAGGACCCCACCCTTATGATCTCAACCCTAATTACCTCCCAAAGGCCTCATCTCCAAATACCATCACACTGGGGTTTAGGGATTCAAATCAGCATATGAATTTGGGGGAACACTATTCAGTCCATAACATTCCATCGTATGGCTCCCCAAATTCATGTCCTCCTTTTATGCAGAATATGTCCACCCCATCTCAGTAGCTCCAAAAGTCTTAACCCGTTTCAGTATAAATTCCAAATACAACGTCTCTTCTAAATATCATCTACATCAGGAATGGGTGAGACTTGAGGTATGATTCATCTTGAGGGAAAATTCTTCGCCATTTATGAACGTGTGAAATCAGACAAGTTATGTGCTTCCAAAAAACAAAGGTGAGACAGGCATAGGATAGACATTCTTGTTCCTAAAGGGAGAAATTGGAAAGAAGAAAGGGGTGACAGATCCCAGTAAATACAAATAAAACCTAGCAAGGCAAATTCAATTCGATTTTAAGGTTGGAAGATAATCCTCTTAGGTTTGATTTTCTGCCCTCCAGGCCCATTGGGGTAGCAGCATAACCCCAGAGCCTGCAGTAGAGGCTACCCTACTCCTTCAGCTGTGGATAGAGGCCCCATCCATACTGCTCTTTGGAGTGGCCCTGCCCCTCTCAACCACTGGGCGGGGGAGCTTGGCCCAGCAATGTTTCTGCTGGTGTAATCTCATCCTTATTCCTGAGGTGGTTCACATGCACAGTCTCTTTATCAGATGATTTTTCCATCCACACTTTTGGTATGTTCTCTCTAAAACATGTTTTCCCATTTTTTGCAATATGGATAGACTGAGAATTCTCCAAATCTTTAAGTTCTGGTACCTCCCTGTGTAACGCTTACTTCTTCAATTTATCTCCTTCTCTCACATATTACTATAAGCAGTCAGGAGTACCCAGACTACATCTTCAACATTTCACTTAGAAATCTTCTCAGCTATTATCCAGTTTCATGGCTCACAAGTTCTATCTTCCATAAAACACGAGGTTACAATTTAGCCAAGTTTTTTGCCACTTTACAGCAGGAGTTGCCTTTTCTTAATCATTTTCCTTTTCTGTCTAAAATCTCACCAGAAACAACTTTCATGTAAATATTTCTACCACCATTCTGTTCATGATTATCTTTTTACTCTCTAAGAAGATGTAGGCTTTCTCTTCTGCTCTCCTCTTTTCTCCCTGAGCCCTCACCAGAGTTGCTTTCACCGTCCATGTTTCTACCAACAGTCTCTTCAGATTAATCTAGGAGTTTTCTAAAATGTGCCTCAAAATTCCTCTAGCCACTACCCATTACGAGTCCCAAAGCCATTTCCACATATTTAGGTATTTATTATAACAACACCCTGCTTCTTGGTACCAAAATCAAAATTCTCCAGAGAAACAGGATCAATAGTATGGAGAGAGAGAGAGAGAGAGAGAGAGATGTTTTAGAAGGAACTGATTGTCTCATGTGATTACGGAGGCTGACAAATCCCAAGATGTGCAGAGTGAGTCAGTAAACTGCAGCTCCAGGAGAGCCAATGGTGCAATTTTTGTGTGAAGAGCAGCAGGCCTGAAGGTCAGGAAAGCTGATGTCTCAGTTTGGGTACCTCAGGCAGGAAGGATCTTCCCATATCCACTGGAGGGTCAGTGTTTTTGTTTTATTAAGGCCTCCAGGATGAGGCCCACCCACGTTAAAGAAAGCTACTGCTTTACTCAGTCTACTGATTTGAATGTTAATCTCATTTGAAAACACCCCATAGAAACAGCCAGAATAATATTTGACCAAATATCTGAGGTCATCGTGGCCCTGTCAAACGGATGCATAAAATTAACTGTTACATATATGAACAGTGTTTGCTAGAGAAAGATAACAGGAGTCCCTCTCTATAAAATGTTTTTGGCAGGATATACTTATCCGTATATATAGATTATTCTAAGTAAACCTGGACTTATGGTGGAATAGCTGGCTGGAGAAACTTGGTAATCATGTAAACTGTGTAACTAACAGTGCAAAAGTGAAATGACTGTTTATGAGCAATCTTGTGTCTACTTTACACAAAGCTCTCCATCTGTGTTTTCTGTAATCAATCTGAATGTGGCACAGGGTGGAGGATAGGGAAGCTTTGGGAGCTGCCGCTGATGCATGCTGGCTCCTCCAGGGAAAAATCTTTTATTTCTATACCTGATATTTACCCATGAAGTTTGGTATGGGTAAGATCTATGTTTTGGGGAGTTTGATATGACAGTTAAACGCTTGAGTCATAAAGGCTAAGACACTTTGGGGTCATAAAAGGAAGGAGGTGAAAAACCATGAACAATAGTTAAATGACTGGATGATTCCCTGAGGCATCTTTAGAAGGAGGTAGAAGCCTTGAGGCAGATTACTGGGGACTAGTTTAACCAATGGGAAATGGAGATTCCGAGTAATTAACTTAATGAAGGTCACCAAACTGAGAGGAGAGTTAGTAGAAAATATTCTTTGTTGGCTGGTATAAATAAGTAGTGCTTGTTAAAACTAGACAGTATAAGCGAAAGAAGTGAGACCAGTTTTTCCTACTTAGACTTCCAAGGCCACCTGGGCATATATTACATTCATTTTCAAATAACCCATGTGGTATCACTGATTACCCGGAAGACTATACACATAGCTGAGAATCAATCTGCAGTATATGGCCAGAGAGGCTGATCTCTTCATCTGATTCACTTGTTTTCTAATTACAAATATCACGTAATCTTTGTCTCGAAGATACTGGGAGCCCCAAGCGCATGCACAAAGCTGACTGAAAAAGAAAATGTTGCTCCTACCTTGAACTTGTTTAAAACAAACACATGGGGGAAAAGGGAGAAGTGCTGGGACAGTAGTAGGAGAAGTATTTTGAGCCTCAGCGGTCATCCACACTGTAGCTGGGGAGTTGCTCTTCTGACCGTCAGCTCCTCCAGTGCGGCGAAGTGATAGAGTCACAGTTCATATCAAATAAAAGGAAGCATACCAACAAATTGTGGAGAAAGCAGAACTCGATACGTTATGAATCCGGAAAGGTGAATGCAGATGTCAGCTGAGAATCTACAAGAACAGATGAGGAAAATGTAGATATTAGCACTAGTCAGTCAGAAGTGGGTCAAAGCCAAGCTTAGCCGTGCATTCTATAAAATAATTCTAGAGCCATTTTAACAATTTCCTATTGCTGCATATTTGATTAACGAACTTAAGTTTAGAGACTACTGATTTTTAATTTTTAGGAAAAAAATTGTAGTAATGTAAGAGAAATTAAATGCCAGATACCCCAGATTTAATTCTCACATACAGGTACAATCCAATACTCTTTGTGATATACATGTTTGAGCCTCGGAAACCCTGTATCAGAACAGAATTGAAGAAATATTTGCAAGTATTAAATATGTGGTCCATGAAAGAACATTACTACCTTCAATCAAGGAAATCACCATTGGGTGGAAGTTTGAAAACTCAAAAACATCAGTAAAGCGCTAGTAACAGCCCATTTTATATATTAGTTTAGGTTTTCAGATTTTATTATATTCACAGTCTATGTGAATGAAATTTTTAGTTTTGGGGAATATTGTTGGTAATGATACCCCTCCACCTTTTGATTTGGTTAATAAAATCTCTGACATAATTTGAAATGGATGCTTTCCATTCTAGGTAAAAAGTTATTGCTGCAGAGATCTCTCAGTCATCCAAAACACAGATTTCAACTGATTTTCTACACTTCTCTACCTGTGTTCATCATTATTATTGCTATTATAATAAACCAGAGTAAAATAAGGGAGCTATGCTACAGAGGAGAACCTGAAAGTGAGAGGTATATATATTTTCATTCTTATTAAATTAAATAAGTCAAGCAAAAAGTAGTCAGGTTTCATCAGGAATAAGCTAAAACTGTAGGTAAAACAATATGAGTATGGCCCAGGGATACATTTCAAACTAGCTTGGTGTTTTCATGTTTTCTCTGGTTTTACTCATTACTAAAACCATTCATTTTACCACCAGTATCACTTGAGGAGGAGATATGGGTGCCAAGGGTATTGTGGAGGTTTATTCGTCCTCTTAATCCACTGATTCTGTCTAAATAGTCAAATTGTCCATGAGCTTCGTGAGAATAAATAACACTGCATTTAAAAAGTAAATAAATAAATAAAATTTTAAGATATAGATCCTCAGACCAGTGGTAAATAACTTTATCAGAACAGCCCACTCAACTAGATAAAATACCTATGAACCTGCCTGCATAATATTTATTTTCCTAATTATTGCTGATTTGTCCAGTCACTTCTCAGCTAGAAATTACATGTGTAATTCATACTAATCAGGTTAGGAGACAGGAGGAAGCATCATGGAGTGGGGAGAAAATTATATTTAGCCTCAGAAAACCTGGTTTCAACTCCTAAATCTTACATATCTTGCTAACTATGATATCTTGAGCAAGGGATTTAATCTTTATGTTCTTAAAATTATTCTCTATAACTATACAAAATGTGAGATAATAGCTTTCCAATGTATCATAAACTTTTGGGTACACCAGATTAATAAATGAAATCACCATATTATCTGTAATCAGTTACACAACTATTTAAACATCATTATTGAGCCCCTTAGTCATAATTTACTGTATTCTTCCAGAGAGGTATTTACCTCTAGTTTTACCTTCCAAGAAGTGATATGAAGAGAAGATCTGAGTATGTTACGAGAGGATGAAAGAAATCTGTAGAAATATATGGAAAAATTAACTGAAATTTTTGACTGCTACTTTATGGTTTTGGTTTAATTTGGCCTGAGGAGTTAGTGATATCATAGAATCAGGGGGCCTATCTGTAAAATTGAGTAAATGTGAAATGAGGATGTGAGGATTTTGTCAACAAAGCAAGGTGGCTGATGGCATTTGTTCTAATATTGAGATGGTACCAGTTTTATTTTATTTTGCTGGAAGGAGACATTTTATGTAGTGAATCACTCTGTTTCTTTGAAGAACATTTTTTGTTCAAATAGTCACTTAATTGTTCAACATTCTTAAATTCCCCCACTTATTTAAAATAAACTTTATCGATGTTATAGGTCTGTGTCGGAAGAAAGCAGCAGTAACAGCAAGTTGTCACTCAGTGTAAGGTGAGTGTAGAACGAGTGATTGATTAACCATTTGGCATCATACCTTTTGATCATTATTGAAGGAGCACTTAAAAATTGTTAGCTTGAAACCAAAACATTTGTTAATAATATTCTTTGTGGTTCCCATTGTAGGTGATTTTATAATGCTAAACAATAAAACTTGATTTCATTATGTCTCAACCTCTCCTCCCTGACCTACACCAAAGGAGTGATTTTTGTGCACCCACACTAACATTTATGACCACATAAGTTTTAGGATTCTTTTTTTTTTTTTTGAGGTTTGGTAAGCAGCACTTATATGTTGATGACATTTTACTGCCACATAATAAGAGGACTGATATTATAAAAATGTCAGATGTGCTTATAGTTATAATATTATCTCAGAAAAAAATTATTGCTAATAAGATAGAGCCTTGGAGTTTTCATTCATTTTACTGTCTTAAGATCCCAAATAACAACCGAACTTTACACATCAAGGAATGAAGAAAAGAACAAACTAAGCCCAAAGTAAGTGAAAGGAAGGAAATAGTAAAGGTCAGAGGAGATATGAACAAAATGAAGAAGAAAAAAGCAATTTTAAATATCAACAAAAGTAAGCATGTTTTTTGAAAAAAGAAAGAAACCTTTCGCTAGACCATCTAACACAAAAAGAGAGAAGACTAATATAAATAAAACCAGAAATAAGAGGGGAGACATTACAAATGATACTATACAAATAATCTTTTTATAGTTTATAGTTCATGAAAGATTACTGTGAATATTTGTATGCTAAGAAACTGAAGAACCAAAAAGAAATGAATACATTCCTGGAAACATACAACCTGCCAAGATTAAATCATGAAGAAATAGAAAGTGAGCAGATTAAAAACTAGTTAAGGAGATTGAACCAGTAACTAAAACCCTCCCAACAAAGAAAAGCCCAGGACAGATTGGCTTTACTGGTGAATTCTGCCAAACATTTAAGGATGGATTAAAGCCAATATTTCTAAAATTCTTCCAAAAAGTAGAAAAGGAGGTAACACTCATTTTATGAGGCCAGCATTACTCTGATACCAAAATTGATAAGGACACTACAGAAAAAGGAAACTACAAGCTAATATCTGTGATGAATATAGATGCAAAAATTCTCAACAAACTACTAGCAAAGCAAATTCAACAGCACATGAAAAGGATCATGCACCATGAGAAAGTGACATCATGGGAGTGCAAGGATGGTTCGACATATGAAAATCAGTCTATGTGATACACCCACCACATTAACAAAATGACGAATGAAAATGACAAGATCGTCTCAATAGACACAGAAAAAACGTTTGACAAAATTCAAAATGTTCTTATGATATATTCTTTCCACAAATTAAGAATAGAAGGAATTTACAGCATGATAAAGGCCATATATGAGAAGCTAACAGCTAATATCATAGTCAAACTGAAAACGTTGAAGCATTTCCTCTAACATCAGGGACAAGGTAAGAATGCCCACTGGCACCATATGTATTCAACCTAGTACTGGAAGTATTAGCCAGAGCAATTAGGTGACAAAAGACATCTACATCAGAAAGGAAGAAGTGAAGTTGTTTTTGTTTTCAGATGTCATGTTCTTACACATAAAAAACCCTAAAGATTCCACAAAAAATTATTAGAACTAATAAACAAGATTAATAAAGCTGCTGGCTCCAAGATCATTGTACAATAATCAGTTACATTTCTATATACTAAAAATAAGCTATCTTAAAATGAAGTTCAGAAAACAATCCCATAGATAATTGGATCAAAAAATAAAATACTTACAAATAAACTTAACTAAGAATGTGAAAGACTTGTGTACTGATAACTACAAGAAAACAGTGAAAGAAATGGAAAGACATCCTGTGTTCATGGGCTGAAACAATTAATATTGTTAAAATATCCATACCACTCAAAGGTATCTACAAATTCAATGAAACCCCTCTCAAAATTCCAGTGGCATTTTTCACAGAGATATTAAAAAAATTCTAAAATTTATGTGGAACCACAAAGGACCCTCAATAGCCAAAACATTTTGAGAAAGAACAAAGCTGGACGCATCATACATCCTGATTTTAAAATATATTGCAAATCTACTGTAATCAAAACAGTATGGTACTGTTATAAAGACAGATAAAGACCAATGGAACAGAATAGAGAGCCCAGGATTCAATCCCCACATAGATGGTCAAATGACCTTTGAAAGGGTACTAAGAATATGCAGTGGGACATGTTGGTGGGAAAACTGGATAGCCACATGCAAAAGAATGAAATTGAACCCTTACATCATACACAAAAATCAACTCAAAGTGGATTAAAAGTGACCCCAAAGTGTAAAACTCCTAGAAGAAAACATAGGGGGAAAACTTCATATCATTGGTCTTCACAATGAATTTTTGGGTTGATATCAAAAGTACAGGCAACAAAAGCAAAAAATAGACAAGTGGGGCTCCATCAAACTAAAAAGGCTTCCGCACAGCAAGGGAAACATTTAATAGAGTGAAAGAGCAACCTATGGAATGGGATAAAATATTTTTAAACCATGTATCAGAAAAAGGGTTAATAACCAAAACACATAAGGTACTCCTACCATTGATACAAAAAAGAAAATAAAACCTGATTTTAAAATGGGCTAAAGACTTGAATAGATGCTTCTCCCAAAATACCATACTTAGGGCCAACAGATATAGGAAAAGATAGCTCAGATCACTAATCATCAGGGAAATTCAAATCAAAACCATATGAGGGGACTTCCGGGAAGATGGCAGAAGAGTAAGACGCGGAGATCACCTTCCTCTCCACAGATACACCAGAAATACATCTACGCGTGGAACAACTCCTACAGAACACCTACTGAACGCTGGCAGAAGACCTCAGACCTCCCAAAAGGCAAGAACCCCCCACGTACCTGGTTAGGGCAAAAGAAAAAACTAAACAGAGACAAAAGGATAGGGACGGGTCCTGCACCAGCGGGAGAGAGCTGTGAAGGAGGAAAAGTGTCCACACACTAGGAAGCCCCTTCGCGGGTGGAGACTTCGGGAGGCGGAGTGGGGGAGCTTGGGAGCCGCGGAGGAGAGAACAGCAACAGGGGTGCGGAGGGCAAAGCGGACAGATTCCAGCGCAGAGGATCGGGCCGACCGGCACTCACCAGCCGAGAGGCTTGTCTGCTCGCCCGCCGGGGCGGGCGGGACTGGGAGCTGAGGCTCCGGCTTTTGTCGGAGCGCCGGGAGAGGACTGAGGTTGGCGGCATGAACACAGCCTGCAGGGCGTTGGTGCGACGCGGCTGGCCGGGAGAGAGTCCGGGGAGGGGTCTGGACCTGCCGAAAAGGCAAGAGACTTTTACGTCCCTCTTTGTTTCCTGGTGCACGAGGAGAGGGGATTAAGAACGCTGCTTGAGAGAGCTCCAGGGACGGGCGCGAGCCGCGGCTAAGAGTGCGGAGCCCAGAGACGGACATGGGACGCTAAGGCCGCTGCTGCCGCCGCCAGGAGGCCTGTGTGCGAACACAGGTCACTAGCCACACGCCCTTCTGGGGAGCCTGTGCAGCCCGCCACTGCCAGGGTCCCGGGATCCAGGGACGGCTCCCGGGGAGAGCGCACGGCGCGCCTCAGGCTGCAGCTTCACGCCGGCCTCTGCCGCTGCAGGCCCGCCCCGCACTCCGTGACCCTCCCTACCCCCCGGCCTGGGTGAGCCAGAGCCTCCGAATCAGCGGCTCCTTTAACCTCGTCCTGTCTGAGCAAAGAACAGACGCCCTCCGGCGACCTACACGCACAGGCGGGGCCAAATCCAAAGCTGAGCCCCTGGGAACTGTCAGAACAAAGAAGAGAAAGGGAAATCTCTCCCAGCAGCCTCAGAAGCAGCGGATTAAAGCTCCACAATCAACTTGATATACCCTGCATCTGTGGAATACCTGAATAGACAACGAATCATCCCAAATTAAGGAGCCCTGTGGATGAAAGGCTCTTGGGGCTGCAGCCAGGACTCAGTGCTGTGCCTCTGAGGTGGGAGAGCCAACTTCAGGACACTGGTCCACAAGAGGCCTCCCAGCTGCACATAATATCAAACAGCAAAAATCTCCGAGAGATCTCCATCTCAACGCCAGCACCCAGCTTCACTCAACGACCAGCAAGCTACAGTGCTGGACATCCTATGCCAAACAACTAGCAAGACAGGAACACAACCCCACCCATTAGCAGAGAGGCTGCCCAAAATCATAGTAAGTCTACAGACACCCCAAAACACACCACCAGACGTGGACCTGCCCACCAGAAAGACAAGATCCAGCCTCATACACCAGAACACAGGCACTAGTACCCTCCACCAGGAAGCCTACACAACCCACTGAACCAACCTTAGCCACTGGGGACAGACACAAAAAACAACAGGAACTACGAACCTTCAGCCTGCAAAAAAGGAGACCCCAAACACAGTAAGATAAGCAAAATGAAAAGACAGAAAAACACACAGCAGATGAAGGAGCAAGATAAAAACCCACCAGACCTAACAAATGAAGAGGAAATAGGCAGTCTACCTGAAAAAGAATTCAGAATAATGATAGTAAGGTTGATCCGAAATCTTGGAGATAGAATGGACAATAGAATGGACAAATTGCAAGAATCAGTTAACAAGGACCTAGAAGAACTAAAGATGAAGCAAGCAACGATGAACAACACAATAAATGAAATTAAAAGTACTCTAGATGGGATCAATAGCAGAATAACTGAGGCAGAAGAACGGATAAGTGACCTGGAAGATAAAATAGTGGAAATAACTACTGCAGAGCAGAATAAAGAAAAAAGAATGAAAAGAACTGAGGACAGTCTCAGAGACCTCTGGGACAACATTAAACGCACCAACATTCGAATTATAGGGGTTCCAGAAGAAGAAGAGAAAAAGAAAGGGACTGAGAAAATATTTGAAGAGATTATAGTTGAAAACTTCCCTAATATGGGAAAAGAAATCATTAATCAAGTCCAGGAAGCACAGAGAGTCCCAT